ACAGCCATGCTTGTTAGGAAAATATGGGAGTTGCAGTAAAATACATTTTGTGCAGTATTCTGGATTTGGTTATCTATTTCACTTTCTGGGTTCACATGATACAGTGACTCTTAAACTAGCCAGTAGTATTAGGTTTACCCCAAACACTTGATGTAAATAAAGAAGCGAAACAAACAAGGTTAAAACTAACCAATAAAAACTAACCAATAAAGGTAGTCCTTGACTTAACAATTGATTTAGTGACTGTTCAAAGTTACAAAAACTGACCTATGACAGTTTTTCATTCTTATGACTGCTGCAACATCCCCAGTCATCTGATAAAAATTCGGCCACTTGGCAACTGACTCATATTTATGACAGTTGCAATGACCTAACTACTAACTTAACAACGGCAGTGATTCACTTAACAACTGTGGCAAGAAAAGTTGTAAAAGAGGGCAAAACTTAAGTACTTAACAACTGTCCCGCTTTGCAACAGAAATTTGGGGCTCAATTGTATTCATAAGTCAAGGACTATCTGTACTTACGAATTTTCAAGTTACAAACTTTGATGCAAACAAACCTATTCTCAACTCCAATTAGAACAGGGCTGTGAAACTCCTGGCCTGCATCACGTGCTGGCCACGCCCACGCCCGGTTTAGCGAAGTCCCCATATGTCACATGATGCCGCCATGATGCCGTGAGTTTGATACCCCTGAACTAGAAGGTTCCCACAAGGTGAGAGAAAGGCAGAAAGGGTTTGTTTACAGCATGCCACATATGTATGCTTCACAGCATTGCCTCACATAGGGAGCCTGAGATACACCAGTTTGGATGCTGTCCCATCCTGTTTGTTCGCTGGTCTTGTGGTGTTTAGTTTGACTTTCTGTAGTAACTATGAATTACAATGTGTCTGGAATTAAGCGTAAGTGCCACTTATACATGGTAAGAAATGTACAGGTTTTTAAAAAAAATATTTACAAACAAAATGGATTTACAGTGTCTTGAAACGTAACCTGTTTGTAATTAGAAAACTGTATTAGCATGTTGTGTGAATACATCCAGTCTTCAATCCTGTGAATATAATGAAACTGGCCTAGTCAGTGTGAAGGAAACAGGGACAAAAGCTGGAAGAGCAGAGGAATTCTCTGCCCAGCCTGTGATTCAAAAGGCAGTTTTATTCAGAGCAGGGCTTTTGCGGAAACGAATGAGGCGTAGTTTCATCATCAACTCTGTCTCATTACTTTAATGTGTTGCTAGCAGTTTACTGTAAACAGAATATGCAATTTGTCACAGGGCAATTTGCCATAAAGGGCAGAATGAATCTAATCTAAAGCACTTGATTTAAATTAGAAATGAAGAAAGGAACTCAGTTATCTTCATCAGATGTTATTACAATTGTTGCTTGAGAAGTTTCACAGGAGTGAAGTTCTCACACTCTTTCTTAAAAATCAAACCACAGACACGGAATTGTCAGCCAAGTTGTTCTTAACGATTCTTAACATTATAGGCACACTGTTTTCTTTCTTATCAGAAGGGAAATCAAATTGTTGTGAGAAACCAAGTTCAAAGAGCTGGATGCTTCAGTAGCTGGGGCAAAAGACGATGGAGTTTACAAGGTAGCAGTTTACAAATAAGCTAGTTCTCAACTTACGACTGCTCACTCAATGATCATTCAAAGTTACAATAGATTCCCCTAAAAGGTACTTGCAACCCGGTTCCAAAGTTACGACAGCTGGCCCCTCCCAATCATGTGAATGCCTTTTGAATCCTCAGCAACTGGCCCGCACTTATGACCATTTGCAGCATCCAGCAATCATGTGACCACTGAAAACCAATGTTTACTTCTGGCTTTTGGCAAAAAAGAAAACCTCATAGTGAACAATGGCTGCGCTTAACTGCTGCAAAAAATAGCTTGTATAATCAGATTGGTCACCTGATAACCTGCTTTACAGCCATCATGACTTATGACTATAATGGGCAGGCTCCATTACAGTCCTAAGTTCAGGACTACCGGTATCTATAGAGCTGTCACAATGAAGACGGATCTGAGTGGACAGAACAACTAAAACTAATAGATGGACAATACAGCAAAGCAATTTGCTTACAAATACACACATTTCTTCTGGATCTATCCGCAACAGTGAATTTCCTTCCCGAAGTCCAGGTGGCCAACAATCAGGGAGGCTGTGGTTTATCCTGAAAAGCCATGGGCACTATCAACTCCATTGGCAACAATGTGTAATCAGGGGCAGGCTACCTTGGGAGAGCACGTATTTTAAATGCAAGATGCCCATTCAGTCCACCTTGGTATCTGCACGTAGGGCTTAAAAGAACTCCATCCATAATTGTTAAATAGTGAGCTAGGTAGCGAGCCAGATGATGAAGCCCTTGTATAAGGCAGCTTCTGATCTTCCTTTCGGCATGCATAATGAATGATTTACAAAGTCTCATTCATCCCCATGATAACCCTATCTTACTGTAAGAAAAAAGACAATGGTTTGCGCCACGCTGCCCAATCAACAATCAAGGCATTTAAAATCAGATTTTGCCCTCAACTACAGCACAAGTTAATGCCTCTCAAATATCTCACAGTACTCCGATGTCTCTCTTCCCATTGCACTTATTCAAAAGACAGGGACAGCTGGAAGCTTGAAGGTACTCCGGTTGATTATTGCTACATCTAGCCCAACGCTGCCTGCTCTAATTGCGACTGGCTTTCCAAAACCTCTCCTGGTGTGTCCCTTGAGCTCTCATCTAGTTGGAAATACTAGTTGAACGTTGAAGATTAGGTCTTTCGGTGCTGAGATAATGAAAATATCCCATCCTTTAAGGTAGATGTACCTAGCCTGGAGCCTTTCAGCTGTGTTGGACTACAACGAGCCGAATCCCCACCCACATTTGCAGTGCTGCCTACAAGTCATAGACCAACGCTTAAGGAGGACGCCAGTTCAATAAACTTTCTGGCAAAGCAGAGCAGGTTAATGTAATGTTGCCACGCACCCAACTGATGTGATATAGGAACATAAGGAGAAGTGAGATTCAGGGTACGACAAAAGAAGTTCTGTAAGATGCACTTCATATTCATTTCCAACAAATTATCTGTTCATAGCCCTCAGGGGTAGGATAACTCTTGCAGGCAAATTTAAGCTGGTACACTGGAGAGGGCACATCACTTCATCCCTTCACCAAAGCACATTTAATTTGTGTTTAGACCAGCCACTGTCACTGCTTCTGTCTGATTGAATGAGATTGCTTCCTTTCTGATCTGTTGCACAAGTAATTTATTTCTGACTACTGGTTGGTTTGAAGCATGACATGAACAGGTGGTAATTCATCATCAAGTTCTTCATTTTCACAGACCATGGACAATATCAAGAGACGGCACTCCTTGGGGATTGGCTTTCCAGTGATTTTACGAATCAATTCCGTCAGGCTGCGAAAGAAAAACAAAAAGTGAACATGGAAGAACTCAGCAGTCAACAAGCACGGACGGTCTTTGTCGCTTGAGGTAGTGAAAACTTAAAAGCACGTGTTTGTAATAATTGCATGGTGGAATCAGTATGGGAAGTGTGGTCAGAGCTGTGGTGGGAAGTACCTAACACGACATAGGGATTTGATTTCATTGGTTGCTTTTGGCACAAGCCTGGGATGCATCAAAGCTTAATTAATCATATCTCGGTCTAGTATTCTGCTTCATCTACAGTTGACAGAATGCATTTGAGGAAACCCTCAAGCAGGAAATAAAGGCAGTTTCTCGCTCTGTTTTTACTTAGCAAGTGGTTGTTGGAGGACGTGATGCATCCAATTAGCCAGATGTGGAGCGTGCTTCCTTTTCCTGGTTGCCTTTGTTCCCAAAGCACGGCCTGAACGGTGCTCCAGATCTAGGGGCTAAACTTATGTCAGCCTCCATCAGGAGAGGAGCGGGAACACCGTACCATCTCTCTCCAAGCTTTTATAATGGAGCATGGATGGGGAATATCTTTGAACAACAGCTTCCAGGATCTCCTCCCTTGGCCAGGCCAGCTGAGGTTCTCAAACAGACACAGGCTCTCCACCTGGTACCTCACCAGCCCTCTGGAGCAGAAAGCCAGGCAGGCGTTCTTGCTCTCTCCTTGGGAAGCAGCAGAGTGAGAGTGGAGCATCTGCCTGGGAGAATCTACAGACTGGTTTTGCACAGGGGGTGTGGACAGAAGGAGAGTGAGTGTGCTGAAAGCAGGAGAGCTGCCAGGGAGTCTGGAAAGATTATAGAGCAAGAGACTACAGTTGCCTCTGGTTGGCAGAAGCCCAGAAGGGCCTGCTTGAGGCTGGGATGAGCTTTGTCTACCCCAGGAAGTTGAGGAGGAGGTGCTGACAGCAGGATGTTTACCCGGCATGGAAGGGAAGGGACATTAGAGGCTTTGCAGCTGCTGCAGATACAGGACCCAGGCTGTACTTGGAGGGGCCCTGCGATGGGGTAGCCACGGCCTCCCTATCCTTCACTCCTGAGGATCCCTCTGCCGACCGGCTTCCCAAGCACAGCTGGACAGTGGGCTGTTCTCCAGCCAACAAAACCGGGCAAGCGGAGGCCCAGACAGAGCAAATATTCAGCCTCAGCAATCACAGAAGGAAGAAAGATGGAAGGATTCCTAGAGATTGTCTAACCAGGCCCTTCTTTTTCTGGGGCACCAACAGCCACTCTTAGTATAGGGTTAATCGAAAGAGACTCTGAAAGCCTGGGAAGCTTGACATAGTTTCATATTAAACTGAGACTGAACTTGTTTCATTTGATCTGTTTTTATATTCTTCTGTTTTTAAAAACAGCATTTTAATAACTAAATTGTCACGGAAGCCTTTTTAGGGCTGAAAGACAGCCTCACATGTGTTTATACACACACACACATACACAGAGGGAGAGAGAGAGAGAGAGAGAGAGAGAGGGAATGGAGCCTAGAATTTAAAGCTGGGCATAGCTTTTACAGATGGGCCTCCAAACTAGAAGTCTTTTCTGTCAGTTCAATTCATAAGAGCTTTCCCTGCCTTGGTTAGATAGACCCTCACCAATGGCTCTGCTCTAGGGACTAGAGGCTGAAGCTATGAAGATTAGGGTTCTATAATATCTCTCTACGGATCACAGGATGCCTTCTGAAATGTTGTTCATGCAGGGAGGCAATCTCAAGACTCTGATTATGATCTGTTTAAAAAAAAAAGTTTAAACCCAGAGAGCCCACATAAACAGGTTTTTAAAGGCCAAAATCTCCAGTGGATTGGTTGGCGATACATAGAAAATAAGAGGAGTCTGAAGTCTATGAGAAATGACTTTAACTAATGATGTGAAATCTATTACGTTTCAACCAAGTTATTACTGTATGTGTTTGTTAGGAATCTAAAATTAGGCAGTATGGAGAAAGGGAGGACCAGAGGCTACAAAAAAGGGGGTTGGGGACAATTTGTAGCACTTAGATTATAAGTTATTATTAAATTCTTAAGGATATATCTCTGTTAAATTCCTACCTGAAAGGAGGCTGTTGCTCTTTGATTTCATCTTCCTTATCATAGAGAGTGGCTGTCCCAAATAGCAACTGCTGAGGCACAAGGTCATGCTCCCTCTATGAAAAACAGTCAACGCAATCAATATCACATTAAAATCCTTTAATTGAAGATCACTAAACCAAGATAAAGTTGGAACAGCCGAGGGGAACACAGAAAAGATCTAGAATAGCCTTCCTTAACGTGATGGCCTGCAAACGTGTTTGAAAACTTCATAATCTCCAACTCTTACCCAAGAGTGGACTAATGAGTACGATACTCTTCAAAATGCCACATGTTTTTGTACTTAGCATGCAATGAAAAATTAGCCTAGCTATCTCTTGGGGAATCACAGAACATCCATCTGGAGGGTGACCAAGTTTGAGAAGGCTGAGCTGGAAGAATACGATGATGGATAGTTGTGTAAATACAGGACATCCAATTATGAGAATGAAAATGAAAAACAATGAAGAAGGATTAAACAAAACGAATGAGTTGGGACAACCAGGCTGAAAGACATGAATTTACTGTGAGCAGGAAGCATATTGAACACAATATTGGCTAATGAAAAAAATGGCACTGGGATAGAATCCCATAAGGTCTCTGTATGTGAAACATTGGATGAAAGTCATCTTTATGTTTGTTCACAAATGAGGTTGGATGTAACACTGGAAAGCCAAATATACACATTTAGGGAGCTAACCCTCTGCACAGAAAAGGTAACCCTGCCTGCTAAGGAAGGAAGAGAACACTCTTACTACAAGTAGAGCATAGGACTGAACACCCCAAGCTACACCCCTGGGCATTTGCCAGAATTTTTTCCTGAAATTGGAACAATTGCCTTTACCTGGATATGATCACAGATGTCTCTCAAGGTAACAACTTCTCCTTTGGAATTAAAACCAGGCACAATAATTCTGTCCCAGCAATTCCATGTCTTCTGCTGATACTGGGAAGAAAGAAGAAATAGCAAGTTAAGTCTTTTTGCAACATACCACAACAAAGAGCCTCGGCCTCTCGGGGCACTTTAAAGCTAGACATTTATTACAGTATAAGCTTTGTGAAGTCTACTTTATCAGTCACATGGAGATCATTTTTTTAAAAAAAAGATCTGTGTGAACAATCCTACCCCAGCTGGTACAAGAAAATTGCAACAGGCAGCTTTCAGAAAAGCCAATTCTTAAAGAACAGAAAGGGTCAAACCTTAGATTCATTTGGAAGTATATCCCCATGGATATACTTATATCCAAAGTTATATGCTCAACTATATTTTCTAAGGTATAAGATCCATTGAAATGGGGGGACTTAGTGCTAAATGAATATATTACACATTGCAGCTTGAAGGAACCTTACTGGTGGATTGGTAAATTCAGCGACCCCAAATATTAGCTCCAAGTAATCTGTATTACTCGGATCATTTTAGTAAAACAAGAGGATACAGACGAGGTTTCCCCCCACCCTAAATTATGAACATTATGTCTGGTTCAAAATCTATTGCTCATTTTCTAATGAGATGTTAATAACAAAAATAGCTGTTGGGAAAGAATCTTATAGCCAAGGACCTTAGAAATTCAGACTGTTCATCTTATCAAAAACAAGGTTAAGAGGTGAACGGATTGTAATATACCTTCACAGAAGAGGTTTTAGGTATCAAACAGCGGCTCTTTAATCTAACCAAGGGGAACATAAGAAAAACCAACACAGATAAAAGATAATAACTTGACCAATTCTAATCAGACCCAGCATTTCAAACCGCAAGGAAAATTAATCATTGCCACCCCAAAAGCCACGGTGATGCTGCGGTTGAGAGCATTTGATTAGGATAAAGAAAGCCAGAATTAGATTGGCCAAGAAGGTCATTTTCCTTTCAACTCCCTCAGTTACCTCGCAAGGTTATCGTAAGACTAAAACACACACATCTGAGAGTCTTCAAGGAAAGGGCAGAACAGAATTTCTGATAAACAGAAATGGCAGGCTTCCAATGAAAACCAGTCCTCCTCCTGAAAAGACAGTTCAACATATCCAAAACCAGAGGGGGGAAATGCCATAATGTAGAGCAGAGGAAGTCATTCCTCTTGCATTTCCCATGGGAAGCCAACGCTGGATAATCTGGTTCATTCCGGCTTGTCTTCTCATCTCGGGATATACAAACTGGATGCAGAGCACAGAGAGAGGGGGACCCTACAGGGTTCTTTTTTTTACTTGTTCATGTTCTGTAGCTTTCTGTGACACAAAGACACATTGAATGGACGTCCTGACAACATACAATTATCCTTTTCTTCATAAGAGGCCCCAAAAACTTGCAGACCCCTTTGCTCTTTGCATTGTTGGCCCTAGGCAAAGCAGGCAAGAAACGTCCCATCCAGTAACAAGGGAGCCATTGGAGCTGATTATTAGTTCATAGCAGGAAGTGCCCTGGCTGGAGGAACATCTTGGGGGGGGGGGGTCAGGCGGCACAAAGGGATACTGTCCTGGGCAAGCTGACTGGTCAGTTAGGGAGGAACTGGCTTGGGCTGCATCATTTCTATAAGCCTCCTAAGCAAATCCTCTCTGTTTTTAGAAATGGCAGATATGGACAATTTTGCCTCTTCTGTCTAAATCCAAGAGTGCAGGTAGTCCTCAAGTTATAACAGTTCATTCAGTGACCTTTCAAAGTTGCAACGGCCCTGAAAAAAAAGTGATTTATCACCGTTTTTCACACTTTGTAGCATCCCTTTGATCATGTGATCAAAATCCAGATGCTTGGCCATTGATTCGTGACCATTGCTGTGTCCCGAGGTCATGGGATCAATTTTTGTAACCTTTTGACAAGCAAAATCAACGGGGAAGCCAGGCTCACTTAACAACTGTGTTCCTAACTTATCAACTGTGGCAAGAAAGGTTGTAAAATGGGGAAAAATTCACTTAAACATCTCACTTAACAACAGAAAATTTTGGGCTTAACTCTGGTCGTAAGTGAAGGACTACCTGTATTGGTATCTACCAAAGCCCTATGGACGCCCTACTAGATTCCTGCTTAGCGCTCTAATGGAAGAGGTCACTTCTTCATTGTGCCTACCTAAAAAACTATATCCCATCCCTTGGTTCAATCAACTCTTTTTCCGTAGGATAAGGGCTAATGGAAGCTCCAGTGTTGCTTTATAATAAAAAGACTATTCTCATTTATTATTTCTTTAACTTAGATTTCTAAACATTTATATATGGTTCAATGGGAGTATGCATAGTTTGTAATCTCTTGACATTTTTTTCCTCTTTTTTTGTGCATTTAGTTTATTGTTTTCTTAGGTTGATTTCTTTTGTGTGTATGGATGAAGGTTTTTTTTTTTAATGTATGAAAGTTGTTAGGATATTTTTTTGAAGGTGGAGCTGTACCCATTTCTCTCCCTTTCCCATGAAAAATGGCACGTCAGGCAATTAGGAAAAGAATGAGGGAATATGTAAATATGTAAATATACCATAGAGAAGATGGATGTGTAAGGATAAAAGATATTGATTTATAGCAAGAGTAAGGTGTAATGGTAAAGGAATAAGTAAATACATATACTGAAAAATTTAAGGAGATACAAAAGATGTCTTGATGTTGATAACAATGTATAAAGTTTTATTTTATGTTTTTTAAAATTTGAAAACTTAATAAAAAAAAATTTTTTTAAAGAAAAGAAAAATGGCATGTCAGGTTTACTGTTCTTTCACATAGCGCAATTTAAGGTCACTGGTCTTTTTAATTTTAATCGTAAAAAAAAATCACAGGACAAACCAAAACATTATTGTTCAGAACCTTTCTCAGCAACACACAAAGAGTCTCAGAAGGCTTTAAAAAGTTTCCTGTACCAGGTGCCATGACTTCCAGATGATTTTGGATTATAATATCCAGGTTAAAGAAAGCAGATGGTATTGATATAATGTCACGAAGTCATATAAGATAGTGATCCCCAACCTTTCTTATGCCGCGGCCCGGTATCCCCAACCTTTTTTATGGCGCGGCCCGGTACCGGCATTAGTTGGGCGCCACCATCTTTTTTTTATGAAAAAGTGCTTCCGGTGACCTCACCGGAAGCACTTTTTCATCAAAAAAAGATGGCGGCGCCAGCGCTTCCGGTGAGCTTTTCCGGGTAGAAATGGCTTTCTACCCAGAAAAGCTCACCGGAAGCACTTTTTCGTCAAAAAAAGATGGCGGCGCCCAGCAAACCAGCGGCCCGGTAGGACTTGTTCCACGGACCGGTACCGGTCCGCGGACCGGTGGTTGGGGACCCCTGATATAAGACATGGGTAAGGAGGAGGATTGCTTCCAAGATATTAGATTAACAGAGTTGGAAGGGACCTTGTAGGTAGGTCATCTAATCCAACCCCCTGCCCAAGCAGGAGACCCTACATCATCTCTGACAAATGGCAGTCCAATCTCTTCTTGAAAGCCTCCAGTAATGAAGCTCCCACAACTTCTGAAGGCAAGCTGTTCCACCACTTGATTGTTCTGTCAGAAAATTTCTGGGTCTTACCGTAGCCTTCTTGTTCAGGCTGGATGATTTCAGTAGGAGCAGCACTAAAATCCAAGACTCATCCTGCAATATTGCAAGGCTTCCTGGAACACTTTGAAGTAGTTTTCCCTATCCTGGTACTCAAGGGGAGCAGCCGAGAGCCTTTTTACATGTCTCCTTCAGAGGTGGGTGTTCAGCAGGTTCTGACCAGTTCTGGAGAACCGGTAGCGGAAATTTTGAGTAGTTTGGAGAACCTGCAAATCCCACCTCGGACTGGAGATTCTACAGTATCCTTCCCCTGCCACGCCCACCAAGCCACGCCCACAGAACCAGTAGTAAAAAAAATCTGAATCCCACCACTGGTCTCAATATAGTATATATAGTCACCTGTATAGTATGAACGGCTAAAGCCGTTCTCAGTTATCCTGCATCTTCCCACTAGAAAGTGCACAGCAGCCAAAGCAAGTCCATTTCTGTAAACATCAGAAACAGGCCACTTTGGATAGTCTATTTCCTCCCTTATATTATGCTTCCATTTTGGAAGCATCGAACCTCTTCCATGGTGAAAGAAACAACCAGTGACATCACCGTTGCCTGGGGGATGCCCACTTGGGGGCTCCTTTCATTGTCCCTGTTCTTTTCCCCAATGGTGGAAGTACAAAATGGGGGAAACCGAACTGTCTCCACAAGTGCTCCCCTGGGCTGCCTGCAAAGGCGGTTTAGTGCAGGACGCAGTTGAAATAGAGCCAACTTTGGAGGAACTTCAGATGGAATGCAGATAGCTGACTTTGCTGTGTATGTGAACTTGAGTTTTGTTTTTTTAATTCCCGTACAGTCGTGGTACCCACATGTTTCCTCCATCCATAGATTCTTGACTAGATCAAGCACTGCCATGCTTCCCATCTTCCATGTATCCATCAAATCTAAAACCGCTTCCTCTATGCATATGCTTGCACACGCACAAATTCTGAGACCAATTTGGATCGGTGGTTGGACCACACAGAACAGGTGACACGGATATGTAACTTACAGACAGGAATTCCTTTCAGAAGAATCAACCTTCTTCCATCTATGTGTTTCACTAGTAAGTGAGCTGTGTTAGCAATGGTGCGTGGATTTACAATTTGAATAGGTAAGAACACTTGCCTATTTTATTTCAAACCCACATAGAAGCAAATAAAGAAAGGCATGGGGAGAAGGATAGGGAACTCAAGATGCACAGCGCTATCAAACAGAGAGTTGTAATTGAAAAACCATCATGTAATTTAGATTAAATCACTGTACACAACAGAGTCCCCAAACTATAGGAAATAATCCTCAAGTGCATATGAGGCTAATGAAGCTTATTCTGACCATTTGGGACCATATGGCCTATTCCATTTGCTCGTTTACATTGCTAGTAACAAGAACAGGAGCCTAGGAGCCATATGGCTACTCAGTCTCTCAACTCACACTTGCTGGGAAACCTTTGCGC